TTTTGTAGCGCGGTAGTCACGTTTTTTCAACTATCGATAATTTGGGCACCTATATGTAATATTTTTTAAATATCAGGTACTTATATGTAATATTTTTTAAATATCAGGTACTTATATGTAATATTTTTAAATATCAGGTACTTATATGTAATTATTTTTAGTCCGGGCACTTATTTGTAATTATTTTTAATCCGGGCACTTATTTGTAATTATTTTCACTTTCCGGGTACCTATATGTAAATTCCCCTAAATTTTATATACGCTTCATACTATATACAATATATTATTTTTTTTACTAAAGCATACATCACAACTATTCGTGTTAATTACTCTTCTATATTACAGTAGAATTCTTATTTGTACGCGCCTAATTTTACTTAATTACAAATCAAACTCATTATTCATTCCAATTTCTCGATTTATTTTTTATCTCTCATCGAGGGTGTTACTAAATCAATAAAATATTAATTATGGGTATTCTGTCCCTTCCGTTTTCATGCGGAAACAACAGAAGCCACTTTCTCTGGGAAAAAATCCGATCACCTTAACGATTACTAATCGATATTGAAATAGAAATTTATCGTTATTATTACAATAATAAAGCCAATTTATATAATCGATATCATTATGACTAATTACTATGATACATCATCTAAATTAAATTATTTCGAGGAATGAACATAGTATTTTGTGACAATTATTACGCTTAAATAATTTTTGCTTTTAATTATTGCTTTTATAATTCAACATTTAATTATTGTATAATGCGATCTTTATAATTATAAAGCTATAATTTTTTGTAAATTACTTTAGCATCTAAATTTAATTAAGTTTACTTATACACTTGTACCTAATAATTTCTAATATTTTATCCAACAGATAAAATCCTAAGGTTTGTGAATTTAAAATTTGATTTTTATAGTTTGACCGGTTTAACTACATTTGCACTAATATATAGTTGGCCTACACATAAATGAATTACAAAAAATTAGCAATTAACTACAATACGGTCATATGGTACAAATTTAACGTATGGTTTAACTGCTTCAACATCATTAAAATCCTTATTCAAACTCCATACATTCAAGTAATTCAAAGTTCTGTTTCGTGTGAAGAATTTAATTAACGCTTTAGTATTTTTCTCCATATTAAGGTGATTAACTAACAGCCTTTTTAAAGGTGCATTGCAATTACTGAGCAAAATATCTATATATAATTCTGGCCAATTGCTATTATCTAAGTCAAGATATTGCAATGATTCTGCAAATAGCTTAACTCGTTCTTTTTCTGGTACATTAACAATGTGTAGTAACGTGAGAAATTGAAGTTCTTGTAAATTACCAAAGAGCTCTATGAGTTGCGTGGTAAGCCTAATATTCGAAATATTTAAATATCTAATGTTTGGGCAGAAGGACATAATTGCTCCTTGTAAGGCGACTTCCCAAATGTCAACTTCTGCTGAGCTAAATTTTAAATTTTTTAGTAATAAGTTTTGTAGTAATATGCCGGACTCTTGTAAAATTTGTACTATAGTCGATACATCAATCGAGCAACTATCTATCTCCAAAGTGCTGATTTTATAATTTAGTTTTTTCAAAAATTCATTTCTGCAATATCTGATACGAAGAACTTCTAAATTTTTACAATTTTTTAGTACCTGAAGCTCAACACTACGATTACAACGTTCTATTATAACTTCTCGTAATGTGTTTTTTTGACTCTCTAAAGCTGAAATTGTGGCATAATATTTTTTATGGAATTGGTAACCAGATAATTTAAATTTCATAATTTGCTCTTGTGATTTAATAACATGTATAAGAGTATGAAATAATTGTGGCTTATACTCGTTATAAAGTCCGTAAATTTCCAAAGTACTAATTTTAATAGCATTATTTGCCAAAATTTTTAATAACGGAGTAACAAATTTAATACTGCTTCGGTTTGGTAGTTTTCTCAAATATAAATCTTGAAGTCGTGAGAAAAATTGGTTATTTTCTCTTAATAAGCAAAAAATCTCTGATTTAATTCTAAAAAAGGATGTAAATTCTAAATCTAATTTATGTAAACTGGCGCCACTTTCGATAAATAATTTAAGCAATAAATTAATTACGTGATTTATTGGTGCGTTGTAATTTGCTTCTGAACTCAGTGAGTTGTAATCTAATTCCAAATTCTGTAATTCCAAACTCTGTGAGTCGTGAGCTCGTTCCAAATTCTGCGAGTCGTAATTAGAGTTGTTGGTGAAACTAATTTATGATGGTGTCATTAAGCTCGGATTTTTTAAAGGGTTATTTCACATATAAATTTAATATATGAATTTGTACTAATTTAGGTACAGTTTTCTACGCAACTAACAGACAAAATGTACCATATTTTTTTTAAACAGTAGCTCTAGACTAGCTCTACACTGTAATAGAACCGGTTTTTTTAAAAATTATTAATAAAAATTAATCCAAAATTTTATTAAAAGTTATTAAAAAGCCGGTTCTATTACAGTGTAGAGCTAGTCTAGAACTACAGTTTTAAAAAAAAACATATACAATTTTGTTTGTAGGCTGTGTAGAAAATGTACCTAAATTAGTACAAATTCATATGTGAAATAACCCTTTAAAAAATCCGAAATTAATGATCATCATATATGACCCTAACTAAGTTTTGATCATTGAACACCCTAATGATTCGTATTCGAATTATTCGAGTCACGAGTTGACGAGTTCAGTCACTACAGTACAGTACATACAGCACACTCTTACCAGCTCTCTTAAACTATTTAAGCGCCTCGTTTTAATTAAATTTTTTTCTCAAAATTCGCGATTTTGATTGACTAATTAGCATGTGACATTTACTCAACATTTTTGTAATCATTTCCATACTTGGGACGTTCTTACCTGTATTGTATACAATGGACCTTTCGCTTATCGGCATCATCAACTCCGTTCTGGTACAAATGCCTGCTGAAGAATTAATACATTATATACAATAGAGCTTTCACTTATTGTTAACTCCGTTCCTGGTACAAATTGCCAATTAAAAGAATTATCGCTTTTTCGATTTAGTTGGATCAACGATCTGCATGATGTTTTTTTTTAATTCCTGTGAGCACGTTATTATTCCACCCTAATTTTTTATAATTATCATTTCCCCTATTATCCCTTATTGATATCAGTTCTCTGTTCTTACGTATAATGTATTATCGTCACTGACTATCTTTGTACCACAGGATAGACCCACACTAATTCTATCGTATTTCTTAATTTAAAAGATGCTGCAGGGTTATTATGGCGAGTCGATATTTATTGAGAAAGTCGCATAACGGTCATTGTATTTTGCAGTAAGGACCTATCGGCATTAAGGAAAGAGGTTGTAAGGAATTATGTGTGTGCTTGAGTTAAATTTGTATTATGTATAGTTTTCCTGGTAGTCTTTAAAAGAGATTTCATTCCACACGTCTAGTCTTGGCAGCATGACTTTAATATGTATATAATACCATTCGCCTTGATCGAAGGTTAGGTTATGCTCTCATTTATGAATAAAGATTTTGTACGATATATCTTATAAATATTGTCTTGTTTGTTATTATACTTTCTGAGTGCTTGTATTACATTTTCTACATTTTATTCACTTGTTTATTTCTGCATGTTATCTTTGGCATTATACTATTGATCACATATTTCTATTCGTGTACACCTCTCTCTATTTATACATTTAATTTTCGTTTACTGTAAGAGTTAACTGGCTTATTGTAAGATAGAGACCACGGACATATGCGGTCACATAATAGGCGCATAAAATGTGATTAATTGTTATTTGTTTAACAAGATTTAAGCAATATTTGTGCGGGCATTTTAAACGAATAATAAAAGTATATATATATATAATGTTAAATCATCCTAAATCCATAATTATCACATTATACAATGATAGATCAAAATTATAATAATACGAAATATGTATATGTTTCCTCGCATAAATATCGCACAATTTGAATTACCAATTAACATAAAAATGCTTTCCAAATCGCATAATCTGGGGTCTCTAACTCCTGGGATTTACGTACTGTATGTAAACCGTCGATCAAACTAAATCAAAAAAGCGTTAGTGTATTGAAAACAATGGAGTTTTCACATATCGTTAACTCCGTTCCTTGTACAAATGTCAATTAAAAGAGATAATGCACAGATCAGAACATCTATAAGTTTTTTTAAAATGTCCATTTAGCTCATTATCGTAAAAAAATTTATTTTTTTATTTTTTTGAAAATAATGACTGACCATCATGACAGTGTTTCCGAAGATTCAGAAGATTATGAAAGAGTTAGGGAATTGATAGATGTAGATGAGACAATTACATCAAGTGAGTCACCAGATTTTCCGGATTCTTTTTGGGAAGAATTTAGAAGACTGAATATAAGTAGCGACCGTTTGAGTCGCAATGAAAGATTGGTGTCTTCACACGAACCCGAATTACCCACTGACACAAATGCTGAAAGCACCATAAGATTTAGATTAAATACATCTAATGTTGAAGTTACCAACACAACCACACCTGCTGGTACTTCTGAAACCAGAGCTAGAATTATTGAAAGAAGAAAAGAGGCTAATTTAAGAACAATAATTGAAATCGAGCGCTCAATGAACGTTAGTCTCTGTTATGTCTTAGACTGTACCGGTCTGTATCTTCTATAGTACTGTACTTATATGCTATGATTCTATTTTTATGGATGTTGTTAACCATGTCATCTAATTTTTAATTTAGGCTCTATGTCAAGACATATTGCTGCTGCAAAAGATTGTATTTTGCAAGTGACGGAATTCTTTAAAAGCGTGAATCCATGTATTAAATTTAGACTTGGCTTTTGTGGCTATCGCGACCATTGTGATGGTAGCTCTCGTCTGCAGAAATTTAATTTTACAAGCTCTTGTGAGGAATTTAGAACAAATGTAGCCACTGTAAAAGCTACTGGTGGTGGTGATCTCCCAGAAGATGTTCTTGGGGGTCTTAATGCCGCTATAAACGAAATGGAGTGGGAGGATGGTACTAAAGTTCTTTTCCACATTGGCGATACTCCACCACATGGTAGACGTTTTACTGATAAGAACGATGATTATCCAGATGGTGATCCAAATGGGTTAACAGCGGAGAGCGTATTACAAAAAATGCAATCAGAAAACATTTTTTATGTTTTTGGAAAAATCACGAAACTTACTGATACCATGATTGAAGTATTTCGTAGCATTATTGGTGAATTTTCAATTTTCGAACTTGTTGGCGATGGTCCACTTGAATTGATTAATAAGTTTGTTGCGGCAACTACAAGATCTGTTAATATGTCTATTACGTTAAATTCCTATATAAAGGGCAGATATTCTTTACGTTTTCCACGAGAGGGACGTGATCTTAACCCAAATATACCTGATTGGAATAATTTATTATCTCGAGAAGGAATAATTTTGTGCTATTATCTCCCTAAAAATGTAGTAGAACTTAAAAATACATTATACTTTGAGAAAGAAAATCTCATTGCTAAACGTTTTAATTTCAAGGTTGCACAAGAGCCATTTGCTGCTGGTGAAGAGAGATATTGTTATTACGCCATTAACACTAAATGCAATCCGCCCAGACGAATAGTAATGAAAGAGATGTTGAGTGAAAGAGAAGATACATTTGAAAAATATCTCGAACTTGTAGAGATCTCTGCTATAACGAATTATCTTACTATAAAATTCAATTCAATTGCAGGAAAGAAGGACATTCCTCTTGTAAATTTTATTAGAGTGCATCTTGTGTGTGCTACTATTAATGGTAGTACTCGTTATTATTCTACAGAACCAGAGTTACAAGGTGCAGAGTTTAGAAAGTTCAATTCAAATAGTGGATTTATTAGAGAGTATCGCCCTGTTCTTGAGGCATTTAGTCATTTTACATACCAGCACACAGGAGAATATTTGGTTATTTGTGATCTTCAAGGAATTGAACGTCCTACCGGTCAGTTCTTATTGACCGATCCAGCGATACATAGCATTGACACAATGAGATTCGGGTCAACGAATTTAGGTAAAGATGGAATTGAAAGATTTTTCTTAACTAACCATCGGTGTAATGATGTTTGCAATAAATTCGGCTTAAGAACAATTGGCAATGTATAAAAAATTTTGATCATAAAAAGTCCGCAGCTACTAGGGCAAAATGAGTTAAAGATGTTGTAAAAATTGAGCATGGTAATTTTTTCAGTGCTATTTCGCTAAAAGCTCATTTAGCCGACATCACATAGGGCTAGATTTAGCATTTTATTAATTGAAGTATAACTTATATTTTAGTAAATTGTCACTTGGCGTGATGTCGGCAAAATGAGCTATCGGTAAAGTAAGGCGGATCCGTAATTTTTTAATTTGTATGTTAATAAAATATTTATTCAAGCTGTTCATGTGTGCTAATTTGAACAATGTAATTATTGATGTTAATAATATCTATTTTATAACCTTTGAGCATTCAGACATCTTATTATTTAATTATCATTTATTACGACTGTTACGATTCAAAACGTAACTTGAAGCATAATTCTTATGTTAAAATTTACCAATCGGTGATTGGAGTGTTTAATACATATCTGCAGCATAGTACAGGTGTGTAGTGAAAATAATTAATCAAATTTTTTTATAACCAGGCGCTTGAAGTGTCAAAATGAGTTAGAAATGATCGTGTTATATTGAATTATACTGGTTTATTACGTATCAGTTTTAACTTAGCTCCAGTGCATTTCCTTGATTTTTTATTGATATTACATTATAATTCATAGGAAAAAAAGGTAGTGCCTTGTATTAATGCTTATGAGAAATTGTTATGTTTATATTATGGTCCTTACACATTTAATTGTACCAGTATGCTTTGATTCATTATTTTGACATTGTATATACATGTGAGTTTTATTAACCAAAAGGAGTTTACAAGTCAAAAATTTGTATAGCATCATACTTGTCTCATATGCCTCTCTCTATGGCTAATAAAATACTCTGATTTGCTAAATAAAAATAAAAACAGATCGTGTTTAATCATCTTGGTCAAAAAATTCTGGACTTATCAATATATATATTTTATTTTTAACAAAATTGTTATAAGGTTCATTTCAATTAATTTCGATTGATGGAATATCCTGAGTTAAAAAAACCTGGTGTGGAAATTACCTATTTATTTTTATAAACTTCTAATTAGTAAAGTTTTAAATTTTCATTTCTCACAATAAAATTTTTTTTTAAAAAAAAGATCGCTTCAATTAATTACACTGATTGTGTAATATCTCAGCCATTATGCTAATAATCTAGACCTTCTATAGTATAGATGCAAAAATATTTATATTTATTGGCACCTTACTATGATCGTACCAACAGAATAAATAGCTCGAGTTATTTTGATGATAATTGCATCATCATTAAAAGAACTCGAGTCATTCTGCTGGTTCGGTCGTCGTAAGTTACCGAATAATATCGTTATCGAATGCTACTCAGCCAGATAATGAAATTATTTTACAATTAATTTCCGTTATTGGCTGCTTCGTACCCAATGACTACTGTATATAATATTTATGTGATCGGTTAATTTAAATTAAACCAAATATATATGTTATTTCAGGGCATGTTTGACATTTTTCGAAGCCACTTGTTATTTTAGGTTGTACATTTTTCACAATAACATTCATAGACTTTACTAAATGCAAATTCGGTATGCAATAATATTTATGTTTTGAAATGACTTTTCTAATTGTAAACCATATAAAAATTCTGAAAAAATCCTTACTAAAAATATTTTTTGTAATAATTAATAAAATATGCAACCAATAAATTGAATATTGGATTGATAAAAATGTCTTGTAATTATTAATCATAGTTATAAAGTTTAAGACAAATGGTCTATTGCAGATATAATTCTATCGGCTGGGTTTACTATATTTGCGAAGTTATACTATCAGCGATACACAAATTGGTTGTGTCAGATCCTATCACAAAAATAATTTTAGTTTATTCATTACATGTTTTCTTTTAAATTGTGTCGTTTAAACTATTAGAGCCAAAGCCCAAGTTTATTAAGCGGAGATCATTAGCATTAGTCCACTATTAGAGTCAGAATATTCATTTAAATTTGTCTTTATATGAACTTGATCTTTGTGTTAAACTAATTAGTTTAATAGAAATTTTATGATAAAATAATATTTATTTATTTTTATTTTTTTACTGATTGTATGACCGATTATTTGTGCAAAATTACAGTGTCACATATTTCAGGTGGAGCAATAAAAAGCGAAACTTTTACTTAAAATGTACAAAAGTTTATCAACCATTACACAAAAACATTATTTAACGATTAGTTTATTATATTTAGTGGACATACCATTTATACTATCTTGTTAACTTGGACTTTTTGTGTACTGTAACAGTGATAGAATTTTGGATGCTACTGTGCATTTGAAATTATTGGAATTAAATTTATCTACAGTTAATTTATTCCTTTACATTAAAACTGAGAAAAATATCGAATCAACTTTTTAGTCCAAAAAAAAATCTATTGAATATGGATAAAATTAAATTTGAGGATTGTTTTCAAAACGGAACTTGTGTTGAAAATGACGAATATAAAACTTTTATTTATTATCAAAAATCTGCAGAGATGGGAAGCGTTAACGGAATAAACAATCTTGGAAATTGTTATCGATATGGAATTGGCGTTGAAAAAGATGAACAAAAAGCATTCACTTATTATCAAAAATCTGCAGAGTTGGGAAGTGTAGATGGAACATATAATGTTGGATATTGTTATAGAAAAGGGATTGGAACTGATAAAGATGAAATTAAGGCGTTCAATTATTACCAAAAATCTGTTGAAATGGGAAATGCCAATGGAACATTTAATGTAGGTATTGTGACGAATATTTTTCATTAATTTTCTATTTTTTATCTTTTTATTTTATTTTATTTACTTCATTTTTATTTTATTTTATCTTTATTTTTATTTTATTTTAGTTTTATTTATTGTATATAGTTTATTTTGCCTCTACCAATTCCATTTTGATAACAATACCCACGTAGTATAGTCACGATGGGAATATTTAATTAGTTATACTAAAAAGGAAAGTGGCTTTTGGCATGCAAACGCGTGAACGCTCAATAGCGCGTATACGCGCTTACACAAATGTGTAGATCCTGCGCCAAAAGCGTAGTCGCGCAAAATAGAGCGTGGTCGCTTAGAAAAGGATGTATAAGTTCAAATTAGAACGAATTCGTTTGTAATTGAGCGTAAACGCTCTCTAAAAAAATTAATGTATATAAACCCTTCGAATTTTAATAAAGGAAATTAAGTTCCACGTTCACCTTTTAATGACATTAAGTGATAAAATAAATACTTATCCTGTTGTAAATTTCGACTTTAAATTTAATAAAACCCTGTGAGACTCAATTCGACGGACTGAATTGACTTTAACTTCACATCGTTCTGTTAAGACTCGGAATTTCTGTGTAACGGCCTCTTTATGTTCTGGAACTTGATCACGTGATTTCCGTTTGAAGAGCTTTCGACTAAAAGAAAAGAATTAATTGAAGACGTGAAAGTAACTGCCCCACCTCCTTTGGCATCACCAGCATCAGCTGATTTGATAGATAGCTGAAATAAGATATAATTTATTGAATAAAGTATCATA